GCGATCCCGTTGCCGGTCCCGGTCCAGTACGGGCGCGACACTGAGGGTTGTGATCCATTGCTGGACACGAAAAAAAAAAGACCAAAAAAAAAAGGAAAAAAAAAATAATAAAACGGATATATTTGAGAGAAGTTTTGGATTTTAGAAAAGTATTATAAAGAAAGTAAATGTTATCCATAATTGCAATATCCAGAGATGTCCCTCAGTGTTTTAAGGTTTCTTTCCTATCTTTTTCCTAATCATTTCCTTTTTATGAAGCTGAGAACATCCTGTATATACAATTTAGTGTCCTGCTTTAATTCACTATTGTATCATAAGATTTGTCCCTATAATTAAAAATTCCTTAAAATCACTATTTTTAATGATATTCCCCCATATGGATATTTCATGATTCACACAACCAATTCACATAACCAATAACCACTTGATCTTTCTTTCTTCTCTAATGTTTTGCATATAGCACAACTTTGTGACATTCTTACTTGTACATTTTACACACATTAATTTTTTGTACTGACTATATAACCTTGGACAAGCATTTAAATTCTCTAAATCTCAATTACCTTACCTGTAAAATAATAAGCGCCTAGTAGTAGGAGGTAATGTACCATAGCTGTTAAAAACACAGGCTCTGGGATAAAACTACCTGAGTTCAGTCCTTCTGTTTGACTCTGGGCAAGCAACTCTAACCTTTCTGCTGCTCACTTTGCTGACATGAAACATGAGGATGATAGTAATAGCTGTCTTATAGAGTTGGTATGAGGATGTGATAACATACCTAAAGAAAAAAGAAAAAAAGAAACACCTAAAGATGTACATAAAGTGATAACACAGAGACTGCCACTTTATAAGGGCTCAGTAAGTAGTAGCTATGATGATGATGATGTAATCAGTGTCCTCTTCCTAAAAATTACATAGCTGGATCAAAGGGTATGCTTATTTTTAAGGTTCTTATTAGATTCTGTTAGTTTGCTTTCCAGGAAAGTTATTTTCTTTCTTTCTCTATAGAATCTTTTTATATTTTATGTCTAATTTGTTGCAGGTTACATAATGTTACAGCCAATCGGGATCCTTAAAGGACATAGCCACCCTGATGGGAGGTGGTGGCAGGGGAGGGCTCAGGTGTTTTCTGAATTTATGAACTGGCTTGGGGTCTGGACACTTTGATTCTGTATTACTCCAATAGGACCAATGTATTTTTTTTTTTCCTGCCCTGCCCAATGCCACAGTGAGCCCAGTTAGCTTCTACTAAGCCCTGGTCAGGCCTGGCCTCATCTCAGACTCCTGCCTAGGATGGTGGGCGTGGCCAGGGGTGCTCCTTTCCTCAACCTGTTAGAACATTTCCTTGTAAGAATAAAATTGCCTTTCTCTGTAAAAAAAAAAAAAAAAAAAAAAGTTCTTTTTTTTTTTTTTTTTAAAGAAGATGACCGGTAAGGGGATCTTAACCCTTGACTTGGTGTTGTCAGCACCACGTTCAGCCAGTGAGCAAACCGGCCATCCCTATATAGGATCCGAACCCGTGGCCTTGGTGTTATCAGCACTGCACTCTCCCGAGTGAGCCACAGGCCGGCCCCGAAAAGTTCTTTGTTTTTTATTTTTATTTTTTGAATTTATTTATTTATTTATTTATTTTTTAAAGATGACCGGTAAGGGGATCTTAACCCTCGACTTGGTGTTGTCAGCACCACGCTCAGCCAGTGAGCGAACCGGCCATCCCTATATGGGATCCGAACCCATGGCCTTGGTGTTATCAGCACCGCACTCTACCGAGTGAGCCACAGGCCGGCCCTGAATTTATTTTTTATTAGCATATTCATTGTTACAAATCATACTTATTGTTCATGCTCCTTATCCAATCTGGAATAAGACCAATGTAACTATGCTAAATTCTATACTTAGAGTAACTTATTTAATACTACCAACAACCTTATGAAGTAGCTACTATTATTAATTCCATTTTACAGATGAAGAAACTGGGACAAAGTAGTTTATTCAATGTAATAAGCCAATAAATGGTAAAGCTGGTATTAGGACACAGGCAGTCTAACCCCAGGACTGCGCTCTTAACCGTAGCACTCTACACAAAACACTGAGTTGGATAAAAATTGCTTGAGAGTAAACATAACTAAGTAAGCATCAAGTCATACTCTGAGAGCCTTGGGGGAAGGACATACATCCTGCTAAGTTCAAGGACACTAGCTTCAAGTTCCCAGGATTAGAGGACAGTGGCCAGGAATCCAATGGAGAAGGCAAGTGTGTAATATTTTCTGACACCAAATGTGCGGTATTCTCCCAACACTGACAATTCTCTAACTCTCCAACACCAACTAGGTGTCAACAATTCAATTCAATTCAATTCTGACACTAACTATGCAGAGTTAGTGCCACACTCCACAGGTTTAAGTAATCAATCCCACATGTGAGGGCTCAAACACTAGCTATGAATAGGTTGCCCAGGCTACCCACACTTCTGCCTGCCCAACTACAAATTGCTCAGGTACAATCATTTATTGGGTGCAGGAGAGACAGCTACCCAGACTGAGACCTAGAATTGATTTTCGCTTTCAGGACTTGCCTGGGTATTGGGAGATGCTGAAGAACTGCCCTTTGATGATGATAAGTTCGATATTTACACCATTGCCTTTGGGATTCGGAATGTCACACACATTGATCAGGTACGAATGGCTGCATCCTCAGCTTGTGTGACTTTCAGGATATTAGTTCTCTTGGAGTAGATCCACAGTGAATGAGGAAAGGAGAGATTTTTCTCTGGGCAGCACTTGAGTGTGATAACTATTTCAAACTTAGGGGCCTCAATCCTTTAACGTGCTAATTTTTCTAGTCACAAAATTGAAAAAGACCAAAACCACCGAACAGATCCTCATAAAAGTCTTTACTGCTTGGGTATTCACATGTTTGGGATTGTTAGTCTTGCTTTGGCATTTCATCTGTTTCTTCTCACGTGTGAAACTGTCAGACTCTGTGAGTTTGCAGATCAGAGACATGTCAGAGGCTGACACAGGAAAAGGCACTCAAACACTATTTTAGCAGAAGATAGCTAGATTCATGTTTCCTCTACAGAGAGAAGAGAATGTTTAGCTCTTCTTCTGATGCAGCTATTCTTTATTTCTACTTTAACATTCTATTCAAAACATTTGAAGACCATGTGCAGGGCAACCAGTTTCATTTCTGTAATGTGGGCTCCACTTGCCTGCATCTTCTGCTTTGGGTGGAACACTTTTTATGGGGCTCTGTAGCTTGGTTTTTAAGACTTGTCCTTTGCCTGTAGCCAGTTTATTTATTTTAATTGAAAAAAAATGTCTTTTGTGTGTCTTTTTTTAAAAATTTGTTACCGGTAAGGGGATCGTAACCCTTGGCTTGGTGTTGCCCACACCGCGCTCAGCCAGTGAGCACACCGGCCATCCCTATATATAGGATCCGAACCTGTGGCCTCGGTGCTCCCAGCGCTGCTGCGCTCCCAGTGCCACACTCTCCCGAGTGAGCCACAGGGCCGGCCCTTGTGTGTCTTTTTTTAAAATTTTATTTATTTTTCTGCTGCTGGCCAGTATGGGGATCTGAACCTGGGACCTTGGGGTTATAAAGCTGTGCTCTAACGAACTGAGCTAACTGGCCAGCCTGAAAAAAGCGTTTTGAATAGGTTCAAAGTTCAAAAGGTACAAAAGGATACATCAGTGAAAATCTCCCTCCCACCCTTCAGTGCCTCCTCTCCCTTTAGACAAACACCAGTTTCTTGTGTTATTTTTACAAAGTCATTTGTGCATATTAAGCAGTATATATATATATATATATATAGTTTTTGGTTTTTTTTTTTTTGGTGGCTGGCCAGTACAAGGATCGAACCCTGAACTTCAGTGTTATCTACACTATGCTCTAACCAACTCAGCTAACCAGCCAGCCCGAGTGGTATATATTATTTTCTTTTTTATGCAAATATTAGCATACTAAACATTTTGCCCATTGCTTTATCTCTTTAAAAATATATCTTGGAGGGGCCGGCCCGTGGCTCACTCGGGAGAGTGTGGTGCTGATAACACCAAGGCCCCGGGTTCGGATCCCATATAGGGATGGCCGGTTTGCTCACTGGCTGAGCGTGGTGCTGACAACACCAAGTCAAGGGTTAAGATCCCCTTACCGGTCATCTTTTTAAAAAAAAATATATATATATATATATCTTGGAGATTTTTTTCATGTTAATGCATAAAGAGCACTGGCTACTCCTTTTTAAAATGTCTGAATAGATTCCATTTATATAGATATTCCATAATTTAACCAGTCTCTCATTAATGGCTAGATGCTTCTAATCTTCTGCTGTTCAGTGAAAAAACCATATATATGTCATTTCCACAGTAGATGCATTTTTGTAAGATAGATTCCTTGAAGTAAAGTTGCTTCATCAAAGATATCCATT